CAGGGTTGGAGGAAGGACCTTGCATGTGGCCGACCACAAGCTGACCAGATTAGCATCCATGGTGGACCATAGCCCTGCTGTCCGTCACAGCCAATTCTAAGTGTCGCAGGCCTGGCTCTTCCTCTTTGGTCAAATCACTCCTTTCCACCCTCTGATCCTGTCTCAAGAAAAAGCCCCATTAATACGCTGACCATTTCATTCCAATTTCCCTGGAAACTTTCCAGTTTTCGCCACGAAGGCCCTGTGCTTTGGTGAACTCAGTAAACCGTGGCTATTGTCCTGTAAGACAGTCATGGCAAGTGTCCACTGGAGCTCGGTTCTGAAAGAGCTCAAGTCGTACCTGGGGGCAAGTGTTTCCAAGAATTTGTGGTCAGGATGCAACATTTAGTCAACAGATCAACCCCTAGAATGCTGGGTATTTATTTGCCCCTTTCTCCAAAATAGCATTACGAGGAAAGTCAGGGCACAGCCCAAGGTCTCTGGTAGCCTCCCTTTCTGCAAGCGTGATGTGGGCTTCTACACAGGCATAAATCCTAGTTTAAGAAACTTTTTAAAACCGAAAAGAATGTCAGCCCCATATTCCATTTTTATTGATTGTCACCGAATTTGGCCCTGCCTTTGCTGATCAACTTAGACATTTTCTCTTCAGTTTCTCTCCAGCTTTTTGCCATTTAAAGATAAAACTGTAAACTCCAGGTTTCACAGACAGTGCCCAGGAGCCTCTATTGACTGTCCAGTTGAAGTCTTCTCATTCTATGAGTACTGTGAATCTGATGACTAATCATGTTCCTTTCTTTGAATTGGCTGCTAGGAAGCTCAGAGTCCATTTGTAGCAATTATGCAGACTATGATATACACTTTGTGTGCTAACTTGACTTGGTCTCCACTTACTTTCTGAGCTCACTTTCCCTTCTACCCAGTTTCTGTAGCTATTTATTCTGTCCTATTGAACTGACTATACTCACAAGCTACCACATATCCTTTCGGAAGTGAAGAAGAACATAATACATAAGCAAGTATAATGCAAATGGTAATTCCTATTAGGAAGACGCAGCAAACAAAAAATATTGGACAGATTCTACAAAGCAGATCCTCTCATGCTGCAAGGCTTCCAGTTTTCGATACAAAACTATGTCCACAGGATGCAATAGTTTTCTCTCTGATTCATGCAGAAAAAGCATTAATGCTCCCAGTGTGGGAGTGCTTTCTGGCCTTCTCAAAGAAGCCATCTTTTGGCCTTACTACACAGTCGCAGTAAGGAGCAGACAATTGCTTTCCACACAGTACACCATCCTCTCCGGGCAAGGACACAATTATCTTGATGGGTTTACAAACTCAACAGCATCCTCCTGGTGAGTGATTTCACTGTGTTGGACTGTTGCTACAGTCAGTTGTTCTAATTAATTTATTTGAACAGTTATGAGAGGGCTTTTTGAAATCAATATGCAAATGTAACTTAAAAGTTAAATCAATATTCTTTTCTTTTTCTTTCTTTTTTTTTGGCAGTACTGGAGATCGAACCCAGGACTTTGCACCTGCAAGGCAGGTGCGGTGCCACTGAACTAAATCCCTGGCCCTAGCCTGGGCATTTTTAATGGGAATGCAGTGTGGTCTTCAACACTTGAGGTAATGCTTTCTGTGCCCCATGACTTAGTTCTCTGTGGGGTTATGTTTGCAGATACCAGGAACTAGGTTGTTCCAAGACCTCTCTTACCTGAAAGCAAGGAGGCAGTGTATCATGTTCTAGATATCTTTACTTTCCTCCAGCTGTATGACTCTTCCAAGGTTCCGTATAAATATTTCAGGCAAAGTCTCCACATTACCAGTAACATGTACAGCTCAGCCATGAGGTATGCATCCACTTTCCATCATAGGGTCTTAGTGCTGACTGTTGTCTGCGGAAATGTTTAATCCAGCTCTTTGCTTTTGTGAATGAAAAAGTACTCGTCCAGGATCCCACACAGAATAAGTGACAGTTTGGACCAGAGCCCAGTTCCCATTTTCCACATTGACCAAACCAGAATTAGAGGCAGAAACTTCAATTCTAGTTCCCGAAGTTCATTTCTCAGAGATTTCTCCAAATCCAACTCTACTTCTAACCTGTTCAATATATTCAAGGTACCTTTTAATTGCTTCCTGTGCCCCACAGCACTTTATTATGGAGACTGTGGAACAGACTTGAGCCTGAAACCTCACTGAAGATTCCTATAGATAAGAAGTGTACTCTGCATGGGAATCTAACCCTGTTTCTTCTCTAAAGTTAGGGAAGGTTTATTGCTTGCCAACCCTGATCCCTATGAGCAACCTGCTCTTGTCAAGAGCTTTTTCCAGCCTTGTACACTATCTCAGGGCTCACCTCATATTTTGCGGGGAGATTACACAAGATTTTCACAAGCCTCCTTTCAAGTCAGTCCCACCCTTGCAAATGAAGTCAGTGCAAAGAACACCCAAGGAGTAAAACCCATCCTACTCATTTTAGGGACCAGAGTCTTCATTGCCTTCCAAGACTTGAAATTTTTACCACACCACATCCCTCCTTTTCCAGGTGTTTCGAGTTGTGTGTCAATCGTATATTTTTAAATGTCAAGCAACAAGTGTTTTCTAGTCTTTCCCAGAGACTAAGATTTGAGTGGTCACAAATTCATCTTCTCTCCATCTACTTTTCATTTCATGCTGTCAATGCTTACACATTGGCTCTTTCTGATACTTCCCCATCCTAAATGGGGAGTAGAGAAGCTCAGGCCCTGCCAAGTTACAAAGAAGTCAGGAGCTGTAGGTGTGTGACCCATTGTTTGGGTGCTCAAGGTTCTACTAATGTTGGATGGCGTTCATTTCATACATCCACCCTGCTGTCTTCAGCTCAGATCCAGCCTACAGAAAGGAAATAAGCTTTTCAAAGTGGTGGCAAACAATGAGGTCACAACCCATAGAAGCCACACCCTCCTAAATTCAGCCGAGAGAAAACTGTCAGAAGTCACAGAAGCCATGTGGTTACTCTGAGTCAAGGAATCAAAGCTTCTGGGATCAAGCAGGCTGGGATCCACACTCTGGAAGATCCACTGAAGAGCAGTACTTTAGGAATGATGGATGTCATACTAGTCCTACATTGTCTTCTACCTAGGCTCTAATCTTTAGCACCTAATGCAGTGACATTCATAAATTGATAATTGAATGATATTAGTAGTGGCATGGAAGGGTAGAAGGGTGGATGTTACTAAATCATTGCTCTAAGCTAACCAGTTAAGAAACTTGACTGAGTTCCTCACGGGCAGTTCCTTTAGTTGAACTCTAACTGTTACAACGTTTGACCTGCCATGTTATAACTTGCCCTTGGCAGTTCTGGTTTCCTCTTGTGCCTTTCTGTTCGTGCTGTAAAAACCTTCCACATACAAGGCAGACCTTTCCTGTTGCATCCTCAACTTTCTTTGTTAGTATTGGAAAAAATAGCCAGAGATCTTGTACTTTCTAGCTACAGAATCACAAGAAAGGCAGGCTGTAAGAAACCAACAACTCTTTATTTCCTCAGGAATGCATCTTCTCTAGTTTCCCAGGCATTTGTGGAATGATTTCTTTGCAAATTCCCAGGTCTGGGATCCTGGTTCTCTGTACCATAAGGCAGCCCTCTCTATACCAATATGGCAGCCGCACAGCACCAAAAACCCTGGACACACTGGTGACATTGTAATGTGTTAATTAACTAGGCTGGTTCTCCAAAATTCTCTTTCTTATATGTTTCAGTTAGGATGGGTATATTGTTTTCCCCAGTTTATATTTTGCAAGGATTCCCTGAACTCCACAGAGAGTGCTCCTGTAAGATTTTTCTGTAAAAGCAAACGACACAGCACAGGGAGAGACAGAGGAGCAGCATGGGCACTCTCCAGACTGAGCTGCTGAGATCATTGCTAAGAATCCTGGCTTCAGATAACTCACTGCAGATAGCCAGGTGGCTCCATAAGCAGGCAGCCAAGTTTGCTGAACTGGCGAGGCAGCTGCAAACCTCCAGTAAAGAAGATAACACTGGAAGTGAACAGATCTTTGGACTTTAATCATCTTGTCCCACAGCCCTTGTCTTGATCAGGAGCAAAAAACCCAGACATTCAGTGAACAGGAGAGATAGAGAACTTTGCCAGTGCCTCTGCAGCAAGACACAAAAGAGATTCTCAGTAAAACTGGAGGGCAGAGGGCAGCTGCACCCATTCTGCGGGCTGCTCTGCAGTCGTGCCTCTTTAGCCAGGCCTGCAGCTGCTCTACCTTCTCGCAGACCCTTTCCTATGTTGCAGGCCAGGTGCTTGTATTCAGGTACATGACAAAGGGTTTCAGCGTTTCCAGGGTGTCCATATTGACCATGTCACAGGCAATAAGAATTGACATGGGTTTTAGTCCGTCCTTGTCGGGGGCTCCATCTTGTTCTTGTGGTTTCCTGCTTCCTTGTGAACTCCCCTACTCTGCATCCTTCTTTCCTTCCCAGCTAACGGCCCTGTGGACTTCAAGCCCATCCTCATGTGTGAAGACTGCAACCTGCAGAGACTGCTTAACCAGCTCCCACAATCATACAAAGCCATCTCTTATAACAAACTCCTTTTTTAAAAAAAATTGCATTTCATTCCATGGTAGATGGCACAGGTGGTGGTGTTCCCATAAGATTATATCACAGTGACATTGTAACTGGCTTAGTTACTCTGACATTTGCATAATGATGAAACAACCTAACGATGTATCTCTCAGAAAGCATCTTCCCGTCCTTAAGTGGTACATGACAATATATCGCTGCCTGTGTATCTGTTGGTCTACCTATCTATGTCTGATGCTGCGTCTCTGGCTGAACCGTGACCTCTGACTGACACAGGTACTCTGCTCCACTCTGGGAGCCCAGTCGTTTATGTCTTCCTCCTGTGTGTTGCAGAAAACAGCAGATGGCGGCCAGTTCTCCAGACTCTGCTTCTGTAAACACAGTCACTTCACTCACGAGCTCCTTCTGACGGTCTCTACTCTGTGTGCAGGTGGGAGCCCGGGCAGGCAGCCCTGTTCTCAGTTCGGAGTGGGCTAACCGGCTGTGCAGACTAGCAGATGCCAGATGGACAGCCCAATAAGTTTGGCTAATTTCTCACAAGAGTGAAAATGCCAAAACAGCGACAAGAAATCACTGGAGAACGTCCTCACGAAGAATGGCCATCCTTGGACATCTCATGAGCCTTGTAGCAGAGAGTGATGTAAGGCTGTTGGACAGATAGAGGTGCCTTGTCATATGGATTTCAGAACCAGTGTCTGGTACATCTACTGCATCCCGGGATGCCTCAGTGTGCACATGGGAAGAAGGTACATTTTCTCTGTGCTTACACCCAACAGGTGGGGTTTGGTACCTCTCTTGTCAGAGAAGGTGAATATTGGCAGACCGTGGGCTGGAGTTAAGCTGCCAACATATTTTGTTGGGCCTCAACAGTGTTTAAAAAAATTTTTTTTTAAATTTGTTGCCAACTTTTACAAAGTGGGTATTTCACATTTTAAAAAATCGAAATTTTCCTCCTTTTCTTGGAAAATCCAAAGATCTGGCAGGTAGAGGCCTCCTCCCTGCATGGCAAAAGCTGACTGAAGCTGAGCAGCAGCTGTCCCAGTTAAGCAGGGATAGGAACACTCCAGTTCATGCAGCCCCACCCCACCTGCTTCTCTTGCTTATGCTACCTGCCTGGCTCCTGGAGGCATCCAGGTTTGCAAGCCCGATCTTCCCATCTGTAGCCAGTGCTGTCTGGCACCCTGCTCATACCCTCTAGTAGAAAACCAGGCTGGAGTTGAAATCACTGGCCTGTGTGCCTTCTTTGCTAGAGGATTTCCTTTGGTAGCCAATCCTACTCTATTCCCCAGGGAGCCAGATATGTCCCTTCCTAGTGGTGCTCAACTGACAGGGGTTGGTGTGCAGATTCCTCAGCTCCCTCTCCCAATGCTGGAGTAACTCTGAGGCCCGTGTTGCACCCTGACTCCTACAGTTCTCCAATTATATTAGACTCCAGCTACCCACAGTGGTAGCTGACTTTGAGGTCTGCCTCACCTCCTCTGTCTCTCTTCTCCTTTACTGCTGCTTCCCCCACCACCACCACTGGATAAACTGCTTGTGCAGTTTATTGTACAATACAAGAATCTGTGCTAGTTATGTTCTATAAAGTTGCATGGACCCTGAACTGACTACTGAAGCTTTGTTCCTAGAGGATTTAGAGTGTTAAATTCCTGAGAGCTTCTGGTCCAAGCATCTTGGACAACCAATCAATTCATAAGCTCATTTTGTGTGTGTTTATGTTTAAAGACACTATTCACACATAGTGATTCATAAGCACTGAAAAGGCAATTGCACTAGAACTTGTGCCTCAATGAAGCTCATCTAACACACATATTCTCTCCATGAGGCACATGATAGCCTTCTTGTACTCTGAAACTCTAGACAGCACTTTAGCACTATGCTTGGGGGATATTTTTTAAAAATGTAAAATGATCATCAAAAATGAAAAAAAAACATGGTGCTAAATAGTATGTGAGGAGGATGTTTGTTCATAATAGCGGAGCCAAAACAAGAAGACTGAAGCACTGCTTTGTTTGAACATGCGTATGTAGTAACTCAGTTGTTTCTGCTGCTCTGCACATGTCCATAAATGACTGTGAAAATGCCATGAATATTGACTTTGGCATTTACATGTGGATGTTAGTGAGTAGGCAGATTTTCAAATACTCAATCCATGAAAAACGAGGATTGACTCTTCCGTCAGAGTGTACTCCTAGAAGCCTGCAAATAAAGGTAACATCATTACAAGTGGTGCTTTCCTCTTCAAGTCATCCAGAAGCAACTTAAAAACTGGGAAGGAATATAATAATGATTTTCAGGCACTGGCCAAGTAGTAAGGGTAGTGATCCCTGAACAAGGAGAAACAAATCAAAGGAGACCTATGATTTCCTCAGTGTCTTGGCTGGAGAAAGTGACCAGGCTGCAGAGCAGAAAGGAGGAAACTAGGGGGAATCTGGTGGTCTCCCTGAATTGTGGAAATGGAGGTGGAGAGGACAAGATGGCTATCATTCACAGGGCAGGGTACTGGAGAGAGACAGAGTTCCAGAGATTTTCAGGGTCTTCCTATCAGTTCCAATCAGAACATGCACATGAAGAAACACTGCCATGTTTATGCTGGGAAAAGACCCACCTGAAAGAACAGAGGGAACAATTCTCAAAGCATACACAGGAATGGAAATGCCAGCAGAGTGGGAAACCCTATCATTTGTAGGACATCACTCAAAAGGGCCTTGCTTCATAATAGGAAAAAAATTGGCCTTCAAATAAACACTGCTGAAATAAGCAAGCTTTTCCCAATAAGTTAACTAATCCTAGAACAAAACTCAATGATATTTATAAGACAGTAAGATATCCAACACTCAACAAGATAAAACTCACAATGGCATCAATCTAAAAGTTATGAGGCATACAAAGAAATGAGAAAATATGAACCACAACGAGGGAAAAAAATGAACAAAAATAGACCAAGAAGTGACATGGGATAGAATTGGTAGACAAAGACATTGAAATTATTATTACAACTATATCCGCCTGTTTGGAAAAGTGGGAGATGATTATTAGAAACATGGAAGATATAAAAAAAGATCCAAATGGAATTTCTAGAGATAAAATTAGAAAGTCTGATAAACTGGATGGTATTACTAATAGATAAGTTTAGAGAAGAAAAGATTAGTTGAGGACAGCAGTTGAAACCCTCTAACATGAGATTAGGGGAGGAAAATGTAAAATAAGTCGGGAGCTCTATTAGAGCATGATTGCTGTGGCAGGTAGTTCAGGTTAATCCTGGTACCTGAGGCTTGGGGTACCAGCTTGTGGCTGTTGGGTGAAACGGAAGGGAAAGCTTGATGGGGGGTCCAGTGTTCAAGATACTGTGTCAAGATGGCTTCCAACAATCACTCACTGGCTTTCTTCTTCCCGGCCTTAGAAATTCAGTTGCTTCTACCTGCTACATACAAAAAATTAGTTGACAAATAAAACTATATATTCAAAGTTACAATGTGATGATTTGACGTACATATACTTTGTGTAATGGTCACTATGGTCAAATTAATGAACATATTCATCAGTACCCATAGTGTATGTAGTGGTAGAGTAAGGACACTTAAAACCTATCCTCTTATCAGATTTCAAATAAATAAGAGTATTAACTGTGGTCGCCATGCTGTGCATTACATTTCCAGAACTTATTTATCCTAAAACTGAAAGTTCATACCATTTGGCCACTGATATCTCCCTGTTTCCCTCACGTCCAACCCCTTAGCAATCATTGTTATAGTCTGTGCTTTTATAAGTTCAACTTTTCTTTTTTAAAGTCTACCCACTTTTAAGAAAGTTTCTTCCCAGGAAGTGAGAGGAAGGCTAAGGAACTTCCTCTTTTCCCAGATCTTTCCTCCATTTTTTGCTACCTTATATACATAGGCATTTTTTGTTTTTAAGACTTGACATTCTTAAAACAGAGTAACAAAATCCTAAATATCAGAAACAGTGTCCTAAATATCACACTGATATTTCATAGCACTTGTTCCTGTTGGATGGTAAGGTGTGAAAAAAGGATGGGTTTGCCTTTCTCGACAGACTTCTCTGCCCTGTCATTTGGAGACAGAATACCACAAACACTGGATAATTTATAACAAGAAGAAATTTATGGCTTACAGTTCTGGAAGGTGGAAAATCCAATGTCAAGTTTCTAGCATCTGGTAAGATCCTTTTTGCTGTATCAAAGCATGGCAGAAGGCATCACACTGAGGAAGGGCAGAGAGATGGGGAACCCACTTTCACATAATTACCCCTGCAGCAATAGCATTAGCTCAAGAGGTCAGAGCCCTTATGGCCTAAACACTTCTTAAAGGCCCCACATTCCAACATACATGGCAGTCAAATTTACAAAGAAGTTCTGTAGGTGACAAGTTATCAAAACACGTCAGCCTCTTCTAAGATTATACTAAATATACCCTGAACAAATGCTGGGATGCTACAGAAATGAATAGTAAAACCTCAGGCAGATGCCATTAAGTTTCTTTTCAATTATGAAATATCTCAAACATATTGAAAATAACAACAATATGCTTACATACCTAAATTAGTGTTTTGCCATATTTGCACCTGATCTTTTGTTTAACCGATATTTTGAAGTTATAGACACAGTGAAAGCCTCCTTTCTGCCTTCTGTTTCCTTCTTTTCCTTCATTACTGAAGTAATCATCTCTCAAAGGAGTTTTCAGTGATTTTTTTATGCTTTAACATATATGTTGAATGTGAAGCATCACTCTTATTGTTTTAAAAATTACATGAATGGGGCTGGGGATTTAGCTCAGTGGTTCCGCCACCTGCCTCACAAGCACAAGGACCCAAGTTCAATCCCCAGTACCAAAAAACAAACAAGCAAACAAAAATTACATGAATGATATCACACTATCCTTTCACAGTGTTCTTCTTCGTTCAGAATTATGTTTTAAAGATTTCCATTGATTGACATATATTTACTTTATTCATTCTAACTGCTTAATCGCACTTGTTATATGAAGTTAGATGTGCATTTAACTTACTTCCCAGGTGTGGCTACTACAAGACTTCAGGAGCATCTTTGCACGTGTGTCCTTGTGAACATGTACAGGGGTCACAGAGAACGTGCACCCTCAACGGTAGCACTGCTCACAAGGGCACCGACGCACAGTTCTACAGATGGCAGGTAAGCGACCCTCTCCTTCATGGCTCTGACTGGTACTGTCAGATTTTTAATTTTTTAAATCAGTCCATATCCAGATGCTGTCCTATGCCATGGACTGGTACCTCACCCATGTGCCAATACCACACTGTTTTGTGAATCTAGGTGCTGTAATTTGGATCTCAAGCATTCTCCAAATGTCCGTCTGTTAAAAGTTTGGGCCACAGCGTGGCACTATTGGAAAGTGGTAGAAGTTTTAAGAGGTGAGGCCTAAGGTTATTGGAGCTCTGCTCTGAAGGGACCCCGGCTACTTCTTCCTTCTCTTTTTCACACCCTGGCCAGTAGGAGAGCAGCTTTTCTCTGCCACATGTTCCCTGCCATGATGTGCTGCCTGCCCTAAAGCAACAGAGCTGATTGATCATGAATCCATGACCCAAAGCAATCCTTTTCTCCTCAGAGGTTGACTGACTGAGTTATTTGTTGTAATAACAGGAAGCTGACTAACATTCTAGCCATCTGGTAAGAAGAAATTCCCTCTTCTATCTTCATAATCATCTTACCTATTTGTGGTCCTCTACCCCGCTGTAAGAATTACAGGATAGCTTGCCAACATCCAAGAAAAGCTGAATTAGGATTTTAAATGTAACTACAGTGAATTTCCAGATGAACTTGAGAAGAATTGACATCTTTGTGATAGTGTGTCTTTCCCTCCAGGATCATGCTGTATCTCTCCATGTTTACTTTTATTCCTTCAATAAAGTTTATAGAGTTTCCCATAAATTTTGTGAGATTTATCACCAGGTACCTTCAAGTTTTTGTTGTTAAGATGCCATTCTTTCACTTACCAGATAGGGAAAGATAAAAAATGTTAATAACATATTCTACTGCTAAGATTATAGGGAATCGTACATTCTCCTACTTTATTAGTGTAAGTGTAAATTAATACAAAAATCTTTGTATTACAATTTGCAAAAGCTCTAAATTTTTTAATGTGCATGCTATTTGACTCAGATTCTACATCTGAAAATTTACTTGCAAAACCTAAATGTGCATCACTAGACTGGTTAATTCAATCATTGACTAGTTTACCCATGCAATAAAATATCATGCAGCCACTAAATAGAATGAAGCAGTTTTGTTAACATAGGTAATGGGGTTCTGGAAGACAGGTTTCTAGGTTCTTGTGCATATCAGAGAATTGGGCATGGCATGCAACAGTAGGGAAAATCAGCAAAGTTTAATGAAGTTTGTTTTTGTTTTGAGACAGGGCCTTGCCATGTAGTTCAGTCTGGTCTTGAATCAGCTATGCAACCCGTGCTGGCATCAAACTTACAGCAATCTTCCCATAGAAGTTTAAAGGGCAGATGTACATGCAGTGCAAACAGGCTTATTCTGGTGGAAAGGAAAATGGCATGGGCACTGAAGGAGTTGGGTATAAGGACCTCGAATGTGTGCAGGGCCTAGGGTGCCTCCCATTGGGTCTTGCAGACTGACAGTGTGATTGACAGGCTCCTGAGTCATACCAGTTGTATCTACTGTGCTCCTCCTTTCCCATAATTCACTCTGTTATAATTGAATCATGAGAAGCAGTCTATAGATATGAACCTTTACTGAGTTTCAAGTGAAGAAAGGTCATTGTCAGTCATGCCAACAGGTCTAGCATGCATGCATGGTTTGGGACTTTTGAAACTACCAAAAGGGGCACAAGGATCTTTGCTATTCTTACTTCTGCCTGTTGGTAGCAGACCTTAAGACGAAGGTCAGGGCATTCTAATTCTGCTTTAGCTCTATCCCATAAGTTTTGGAATATTGCCTCCATTTTCACTTATTTCATACTAACTATTTTATAAATTCTAATATGATTTCTCTTTTGAACCATTATTTAGGTATGTTATTTAATTTATTATTTAGACATATATTATTTAATTCCCACATACTTGTGAATTTCTCAAATTCTTTCATCATTGATTTCCATGTCATTCTGATCTAGGGATGATATAAGGGAAATAGATGTAGCTCTCAACCTGTTAGATGTTCAGTATGTTGTGTTTGTGTTCCCCCAAATGGAAGAATGAATTCTAAGGAACAGCGAGGTTAAGAGTAGGAAATACTTATTGAGGGAAAGATAGCTTCTGTCTGAGACAGAAGGAGACCTGGGAAGAGGGTTGCTACTGACTGCACTTATAGGGGGAGCTTTATAGAGCAAAATTATGAGGTGGGTATGAATTCACAAGGTGGATATAAGGTGGGGCAAAACTATGACTAATCAATGAGGTTATAAGCAGAGCCACTTAGGTGATATTGATCCAATGGAAAATCATGGAGGGGGGTATAAGGTGGTGATATGGGGGAATAGATGCAACTCCCATCATGCTAAATGTCAGATATGCCGAGTTCGTGTTCCCTGAAGTCAGAAAATTAATTCTAAGGAACAATGGAGGTTAAGAGTAGGAAAATGTATTGGAGAATAGAAATGGGGAATAAGAACAGCTCCTGGGAGATGGTAGGGGTCCCAAGTGGGTTGCCAATGAGCCCACTTCTCAAAGGAAGTTTTATAGAGCAAAGATATGAGTGGTGGGTACAATGTGGGTTAAAAAAAACACAGTCAACCAAGAAGATTCCAAGTATAGTCACTTAGGTAACATTGACCCAACAGTAACACGGGTATATGGATGACATCTTTAAGCTTAGTTGATAACCCATAAAGCATTTTAAATGGACTAAGGCCTAGAATTTAAGATTTCTTTCTTTCTTTTTTTTTTTTTTTGTATGAGAGATCTTTATTAAAGAGCCAAGGAGGCACAGTGGCCTGCTCGGTGGAAAGCGAACAAGAGAGAGAGAAAGAGAGAGAGGGAGAGAGAAAATGGGAAGGGGCTTGGTTATATATTGGGTGACCGGTGTAGGCAGGTAGGGGATTGCATCTGCTGCACAGGCAGCCACTCAGGGGCCACTCTTGGACATTTAAGGAAGTTATTTATCGGAATGGAGGCAGCCATTCCAAGGCACTTATCTTACATTCCTCCCTTTTTTGTTTGTTATGGCCTGGGGAAGAGGGGCGAAGTATCTCTCTTCTGTAGCTACTTCCTGCTGAAACGGGGCTGTGTGGGGGTGATGAGAGGCTGAGGGAAGGATCTCCAGTCTATTATCTCCTACCTTTGTGGGCATGACATGGCTGTTGGAGGGCTGCTTGTTTAGGAGCTTTCAGGAGGGCAATGACGGTGAGATCATCGAGTGTTGGGGCTGATCTAAGCAGGTACAGTAGCTTGAGGGGCAGCGCAACCATGGAGAGGGGGCCCCTGGGGAGTTGAATTCGTGGAAGGTTCCCTGGTAAAAAATGATCTGTAATCCACTCTGTCACTCCATCTGGAGACTCTTCTAAGGGATAAAGCCAGTGAAGATCTTGTTGTAGCTGGACAATGAAGAGCTGGAACCAAAGTCGGATCTGCGACATACCTTAATGGAGAGATGAGTGAACGTGTTCCTACACAGATAAGCTATGGATGAGGCCGATGAATAGGTGCGGAGAGGCGTCTGGGCGAATGGACACAAGTTGTTGGGCGGGAGGATCCGGGCACCTAGGCTCGGAGTCCCTGGACCCTCAGTGTTAAAGCCAGGAGCAGGGTAGCACCCAATCCGAGTCAGGGCACCAATGAAAGAAAACCTGGCGCCTGCCAAGGACCACTCAGCACACCAACAGGTCGTATGAGAAATCTTTATTAAAGAGCTGAGGAGGCAGGGTGGCCCACTCGGCAGAAAGAGAACACGAGAGAGAGAGAGAGAGTTAAGATTTATTTCTTACTTTGATAAGAGCTAAAGGTAATGAGGCTACTGTAGGTGGGTCTCCTGAGCCATTTTATGGAGATGTCTCTTGAGGGTCTTGTCTATTTTTTCTACCTTTCCTGATGACTGGGCTTTCTCTATGCACAATGAAGGCCTGGTTCCTGAGAGACACCTGGTGTGACTGTTGCTTCTCTCTGTAAGTTCTTAGGAAGACCAAATCTGGAGATTTCTGAGACCCAAACTTCTATTGCCGCCTGTGCCTTTTCTGTTCTGCAAGGAAGGGCCTCAACCCAGTTTGAGAAAGTATCTACCTGGGCCAGTAAGTATTGAAGTCCCTTACTCTTTGACATATGAGTAAAACCAAGTTGCCAATCTTCTACAGGTATTTACCATGCCTCTATATACCTGGCAGGGCTATGATCCAGTTCAGAGGCTTGTTCTTTTGGCAGAGCTCACATGTCTCAACTATCTGTTGTCTTGTCTGAGAAAGTCCCTTGCTTATGAATAACTTTGAGGCCATCTGGTTGGTCTTGTCTCTCCCCAAGTGACAGGTGTGATGTAAAGACTTAATAATTTTCCATTGACTTGCACCAGGAAGGAGCAATTCACCATCATCTGACTGTAGCCACCCCGATGGGAGGAACTGACACTCATGGGAGAGCCCACTCGAGAATGTTTGGGTTGAGTATGACTGAGGGACCTTTCCCAGATCAGGAGGGCCTGAAGGGTGTGGTGGGGGGCTCGAGCAGTTTCTTTTGTAGCTGCAGCAGCCAGTTGATTACCTTGAGATACTTAGTGCTTTTCTGATGTCCTCTATAGTGAATAACCACTGAGCCCTCTCTGACTGCCTATAATATTTCTAATTAACTTAGTGGCCCATAATAATTCCATTTTGGCCAGAGGATCTACTTGGTATAACTATGAGGTAAGACAAAAGAAATAAAAACTAGGTAGAAAGGAGACAAGGAAATGGAGATTTTAGAAATTCAGGACATAAGCGCAGCTTTTTTTTCTTTCTCTTCTTCCAGAAAATAATAAACTTAGGTAACTTCCTTTTCCCTACAAATGGGTTTGCTGTTCCCCTTTCATTTGTAAGTGCTCCTCTTTCACCTGTGAATAGACAGCTTTTAGGATTTCCCAGAGTAGTGGACTATTACCCACCCACTAAACAAGACTAAGACTGTAGACTCAAATTCCACAGATTTCCACGGTGCAAACTCATAAGATTCCCCATGCCCAACTGTAGTGTCTCATTTCTCTGAGCACCTGCACTTGGATCTCAAGTGCCTGAGTGCATCCTGTATCTCTGTCCAACAAAAACTTTCCCTTGCCTCTTACTAGGGGTCCTGAAAGGTCTGTTTCCACAATAGAAGTCAGTGAACCTAAAAATTTATTTCAAAAGGGTGGGATAGGTTCCTTATTCCAGCTTCGGGACCTCTTGGACAATTTCAGTCCATTTCAGTTTATTGAGGTTTGTGTTATGGTTTGGCTCATGGTCTATCCTGGAGAATGTTCATGTGCACTTGAGAAGAATAGGGCTTGTGCTCACTTTGGCAGCACATATACTAAAACTGGAAGGATTTGTCTTTCATTATCTATGGGTAGAGGAGAATGACATTTCTTAAAGTCCCTCTCCTCCCTTCACCTACTCTCTCTTCCCTACACTTACTTCAGAGATTGTCACCCTCCAAGCTTGACATCTCTTCTTTTCAAGAGGCTTAAGACATTCCTTGACCTTTCTCTTCCTCTTACCTCTTTAGCGTGTAGATTAATTTTGCCCATCCCATGATGACCTTTTATTTTCTTTCTCTTCTTCTGCCTTCTCCTTATTTTCTGCCTATCACTTAGGTTCTCCCAGAAAGGAAAAAAAAAAAAAAAATAGCCAAACCTAGAACCTTAGAATCCACCAAATTATAAGAACTCACCCCTTCTCTCAGGCCTCTGTAAATCAGTCTTTCTCCACCCCTTTACCTGACCTTGTATTACAAAAGGTCTGGGAATTAGGCTGACAAGGAGGCCCGAATTTTATGGTTAAAACGAGTCTTTGAAGTAAAAACGTTTTCTTCTAGACCCACCTTCCATAGATCAAACTCAATGGGAGATCCCTATAAACAAAATCTTAGCCCTGGTAAGATTGTTGTCCTCCCTCAAAATCACCCAGTGATGTCTGTAATCCCAGCACTCTAGGAGGCTGAGGCAGGAGGGTGGCAAGTTTGAGTCTGAGGAACATACTAATTTAGCAAAACCCTATCTAAAAAAAAAAAGTTGGGGGTGCTGGAGATGTACCTCATTGCGAAGGCCTTGGGTTCAATCCCCAGTACCCTACCAGTCCTACAAGAAAAATAAGTCACTCACAGTAAATTTTTTCTCAGTCCTGTCTCTGTTCAAGAGAACTAAGCGTAAAGCTTTGATAGTGGTGGCCTTGATGTGAGAATCAGTTTGGATTTATTTTATTATTACCATACTACTAAAAAGCCCTTTTAGAGCCTCAGCATCAGCAGATGCCAAGGACACAGATCCCTCCCAGATTTCTAAGTTCTTGCAGCCTGGGAAGGAGAAAGGTAACTGCGTGTCTGCTACTCATCTCTAGGCTTAGAGAAGTGTCAGATTTTCACATTTTATTTTCCTCGTATTTTCCCAATTATTGGTTTGTATTCGTCTCTACGATGGCTGTAACTGTTTGTGGACCTTACTTGACATGTGTAGTCCATCTCATCCCCCATGTCAGTCACCGTGCCTGGCACACCGTGTATGTACCAATTATTTGCAGAATTAATGCAGACAATATAGGAGCAGATATAGCCAGTAGGATTTCACAGTGCCATTCTGAAGGAATAATCATGCTCACTGCAAATCTAATACATGTGTAACAAACACAACTCAAAGTCTACCCCTGGCCCTGTGTCATTTTCCTCCCAGGCATAATCTCAAAAATTTGGCAGCATTTTCAATCCCTTCAACTCCACTTCCAGCCCATGTAATTATCTGCACCCTGTTTTAAATGTGTGCTGTGTGTGTGCGTATGCCTGCGTGCACAAGCCATGTGTGTTCAAATTTTCGAGTAGAGCACGGTGAGCTCGTCTTGCCTTCAGCCTTCACCCACTAGGAGAGGACATTTATTCTCCCCATGAGTGAGGAAATGAAGGACAGAGATGCATGGTTCTCCTATGCACTGTTGGGCCATCGGAGGCACTGCAACTCACACGGCAGGGTAAGGTTTTCTGGGTACTGATATATTTTACTTCCATAATTATTTTCTGCACCCTTGTCCTTTCCCCATCTGACAAATGAATACAGATAGGTTTTGAGGGGGGACAAAATCCAAGAAGCAAAAGTGAGGGAGTAGGGAGGATACGGCAGGGAAGGAGCTCATAAATAGAAAATTGATGGATGGACAGATTACCTTGGGGACAACCAGTCTGCTCAATCTTACTAGGAGCTCTTTGAAGAACTCTGTAAACCATGTTTCAGAATGGTCCCATCAAGCCTGTCTAGTATTATCTGTTGAGTTATCTATTATAAACTTCTCTCCTAAATGATTGAACTTGCCCCTAGAGTTAAACTCCTAGGACCTTCTGGCCTGTTCTGAAAGTGAGCGGGCATCCCTGGTGCTGGAGAACCTCTCGGGAAGTGGGAGGCAGGCATCTCCGCAGCCACAGATGAATTCAGAGCTAGCTAAGGAAATATGCGGCTGCCACGGTCTCTGCTACAATCACTCTGTGTATACGCTGGGGTATATGCCTACCTAATTCCTTATAGGCCAGGGGAGGCATGGTTGAAGGGAAAGCAGAGGTCTTTGATCCTTCTGGATCCCTGAAAAGTACTTAAATCCCTTTCGCAAGCCAAGTCCACGGGCAGAAGGTGTACGTGGAAGTAAGTAACAGAGACCTGGATAACACTCCCTGTTCAGGAACAGCCCAGGGCAATGACTTGACATGGAGTTCCCTTCAGAGTGGTAGCAGGCAGAAGAAAAGTCTCATAAAGGTTTAGGCAGCGGCATGTGAGGCAGCCTCAGAATTCTCCGTCCCCCCAAGAGGAGTGACATGGGCCCAGCTTGTGTTTGAGGAGCAGGTAGGTAAGCAGAATCTCTGCAGAGAAATGCCTGGAGGCCAGATAAGAACAAGACTTTTCAGGGCCAGGAATTTAGCTCAGTGGTTCAGCCGCCTGCCTCGCAAGCACAAGGTCCCACATTTGATCCCTGGTACAAAAAAAAAAAGAACAAGACTTTTCAGCGACTCTGACACTCATAGATGACAATGATGAGGCCAGATATGGTGCATTCCATTGCCTGAGCCATGTGTGACACTGCAACTTAGACCCTGCCTCGGGGAGGCTGGGGGAATGGAGAAACCTGGAACCTCCTGAAATTGATCCCACCACTGGGGAGAAGGTGAGTTCCTAAATTCACTTTTCGCAAAAACAAAACACTCATCTGATCTTGGCCACCTGACTTTGTGTCCTGAAGTTCATACACACAAAACTAGGTTCCCCTCCTCCCCTTCAGGGCCAGCAGAATATATCCTGGGAGGTGGAGAGAAGCATTTGAGCTTAGATCCCTTCCTTGTCATGTTAAAGGAGATATATATATTTTTAGGCAAGGGCTCTCAAACCTTAGCACACTTGGGCAGCCTCTGGGAGGTTTGTTAAAAGCGCAGTCAGCTGGGCCAACCCTATAAGCTCTGGCTCAAGAGTCTGAGAGGAGGCTAAGAAAAGCCTGTGTTTTTAGCCACCTTGGTACGGGTGATGGCCCTGCCAATCACCGCTGGGCAGAGAGGGTGCTCACAAGCTCCCGTGTGCCAGGTTCCCCGTGTTAGCCCTGTGAAGTCTGCCACTTCTCTCTGAGCCATTTATTTGGCAGCAGGTATAACTGAGCCAGGCACCGTCAGGGTGTAGGAGAGACACAGAGGGAGCCCTGTTAATAGGGGCAATCAACAAGAAACAGCCATCACATTAAGGAATAACTAAGTCAAGCAACAAACATGCTTGGCTTCCTTGCTTATCTCTTCACCTCAGCTTATCTTGGTAACCAGAAATGGAGACAGGTTTCCAGCTGTTGATGGTGATGTCTTGAATTGCGGGGCCAACTCTCCTCTTGAATTGGATTGTTTTATAACAGCTGATGTCCACTGTTGTGCGTGCGAGTAGATCGAATGCTACATCCCCAGCACTTTAAAATTAAAACTGTGTGTGTGTGTGTGTGTGTGTGTGTATTTTGAGACAGGGTCTTACCAAGTCACTAAGTTGCCACGTCACTGAGGCTAGTCTTGAACTAGTGATTCCACCTTAGCCTTCCAGAGTGCTAGGATTACAGGCATTCAGCACCACACACAGCTTGTTCGCCATTCCTTTAACAGATATTCTCAGTCCCTGATTTGTTTGTGTACTTTAACCTGAGGCCCTGTGAAAATGAAAGATTTCAACTTTTTTTCTAGGCAAACCCCAGAACCTTTTGACACCAAAGAAGCTGCGGCCTGCAAAAAATAGGCAGATTGAGGAGGTCGGTGTGATACGGGGGAAAAGGAGGAATGGGACAAAGAGAGAGTGGGGATGGTAGGAGGGAGAGGAGGGCTGAGAGAGGGATGAGGAGGGTGGCGTGGGCAGCTCAAGAAACTGTTTCCTGTGGCTCCTATAACAAAGTGCCACAGATTGGGCCCTTACAGGACAGAAAGTTGTTCTCACTGTGGTGGTGGCTGGAAGTCTGAGATCAAGGGGTCTGCAGGGTTGGCTCCTACAAGCTAGTCTCCCCTAGCTTCTGGAGGTTTACTGGCAATGCTGGACATTCCGCCTTAGAGATGCGGCACCTCAGTGCCGTCCGTCATCTTCACGTGGCATTCTCCCTGTGCGTGCGTCTCTGCCCAAACACCCACTTCTGGGAGGGGACCGGCCACATACGATTAGGGCCCACCCCGGTGACTCATACTACCATGTTCAGCTAGGGCGATATTTCCTGTGACGGTCCTACTCGCTGTCCTGAGGGGAGGACTTCAGCATCTTAGGGGACACACCTCACAAAGGTGAGAAAGGCAGGAGAAAGCGGGTGCTGACCCTCCAGTGCTAGGTGGTGGTGGAAAGGGGACAGGACCGGGAAGAACTGGTGGAGATGAAAAGGACTTTGCAGCAAAGTAACACCTGCCAACTGGGAGTGAGGATGAGACAGAGTAGCAGATGGGATGGGTTTGGCCCCAGGGCTGCAGTAGGAAAGCCTCCTGTTCCCTCCAGTCCTGGGTGACATGAGAAGCCCGGGGACTTGCGAGAGTCTCGGCCCTATGCCCGGGACTTCTTCCTTCAACGCCGTGTAATGAGGCCATGGTGGGTCCCTCAGGGGTCTATTAGAGTGAATTTCCCCATGCACCATGTGTCTGAGCTCTGTGTAGTCAGATGAAGTCATATGAAGGAGGTTTATTCTAACCCTGAGCCACTCCTGCAGGCATAGAGCAGTTCAAAATCTTTAAGGTAACCGTCTGTTTTGTACTTGGAATTTTATTTGCTTCAGGGCATCCTTAAAATGTCAGCCTGTGATTGTGCGCCATATAGAATCCTTATAGGGCTGATCCAAATCCCAGAGACTCAGCAAAGACCCAGACTGTTTGACTTGAATCAGAATAGCCACATAGTTATCTCTATTTTCACTCAACAAATATTTATTGAGTCTAGGGAAACAGCCAGTGTGGGGAAATCACAGTGAACAAACAAAAGTCTCCCATTTTATGGGGGTGGATTAAAAAAAAAATTAGACAATTGAGACCTGAGGATTGTACTTCTCAGATGTTAAGAGCCACAGAGATTCTTTTAAAAAGGATAGAGAACACCACGTGTAGACGGAGGGACAGGGTCCAGAGAAGCCTCACTGAAGAGGTGACACAGCAGCTAACATGAGAGTGAAGCCATTGAAGCCCCTGGAGTCTGACCGAGTCAGCGTCACTGGAGAAGACTAGGCAAAGCTCCGTCCCTACTGACAGCAGCGCTCACCAGTTTTCTGGAGTCCTGGCTTTGAAGCATTTTATTTCATCATCTTTGTTAACCCCCAGATGTCCCAGAAATTCTGAAGTACATCTCCCAGGGTTCCTGCCCCAGCATGGAACTTGCAAGTCATACTTTGGCCCCTGCCCCACACCACACCCTCCTCCATGTCCCAATGTACTCTGATTTGGGATTTGAAAGACAGGATCCAACTATAAATTCCTAAGTGCTGTCCACTGGGGCACTGGCTGAGCTACTGAGAAAAAACCTACCTGTAACTATTTCATCTCTGATGATAAATGATTATAGGGAAAACGTGTGTGTGTGTGTGTGTGTACTCTTGTACACTTAAACATACTGGAAGGAAAAAAAACTGAGTCAAAAGCAAAATATTTTTCCATGAAATTTTTAAGCTCACATTCTAAAATCAAAATCAAAACAGAGCCAGGCATGGTGGCACAAGTCTATAATCCCAGCACTCAGGAGCCTGAGGCTGGAGGATCGCTGTGAATTCAAGGCCAGCCTGGGCAACATAGAGAGTTCAAGGCCAGTTTGAATTACACAGTGAGACCCTGTCTCAAAAACCAAAAGAAAAAAGTCTGGGGATTTAGCTCAGTGGTTGCACTGCCTGCCTCGCAAGCACAAGGTCCTGAGTTCAATCCCCAGTACCAAAAAAAAAAAAAGAAAGAGAAAGAAAAAAATCAAAACAGAAAATAATGAGAATGTTAATTGCAAGAATTCCCAATGGCAGTTCTGTCTACTCTACTTCCCTAGATATCAGAAGAAACTCAGCTCCCAATGATGAGGAGCTGCTCTCCATCAACCCACTAGAGCCAGAAGCCCGAAAACTCTAAGGATTTTCTCCCTGTGTCCTTCATTCTCTCAGTGATCTCAAGTCTCATGGCTGCAAACATCATCCAAGAGTTGCTGGACGTCTAACTTTGTATTTGCAAGCCAGTCCTCTAACCTCCAGCTAGAATAATGGCTTACCCTGCTGTCAACACCTGATCTCCCCTCAGCTGTCTACAAGACATCTCCAACATCACACAGCCCAACGTGAGCCACTGATATTCACCTCTTTTGCCTACTCCTCACCTTCCCATCTCTGTTGACGACAACTCTGTGCTTGCAACTTCTCCAACCAAACTAACCATTTCTTGACTCCTGTGCCTCTCGCACCAGGTGTCAATTCATCAGCAAATCCTATAGATTCTTTCTTAAAAAAATACAGCTGGAAGCTGCCAACTTCTTACCACCACCATGATGCCACTTTGGTTTAAACCAGTGATGTCTTAGTTGGTCTCCCTGCTTCTTCCTTTTGACCATGGCTGGCTAATCTCCCAAGTGATCCAGGCCTGTGTCAGATTGTATCTCTCCTCACCTCTCAACCTGCAAGGGCTTCCACCTCACTCAGAGGAAAAGGCAAGTCCCTTCAGTGAATGGCGGCCAAGGTGTATCCTACCTGGTTCCCCCACCCGCTGTCTCTCATCCTGTCTTGTCACACTCGCCCTGCCTGCTGTGCTCCAGCCACACTGGCCTTTGCTGCTCCTCACGCCAAGCGCACTGTCCCCTCAGAAGTTTCACACTTGTTACTCTCTCCACCCAAAATGCTCCTCCCGATAGCTGAGTTGCCAACTCCCTTACCCAAATGCAAACTCCCTGAGAAACCTCCCTTCACCATCCAAGGACATGGACCCCCAGCCTGTGCTCTCCAGCACCACTCTGCTTAATTTTTTTCTCCTTGGCCCTTGTCACCATCTGACCCACTGTACATTTTAATTAATTCCCTGTTTCCCTCACTAGCATGTCAGCTCCAGGAGGCACAGTTGTTTTATTTATTGGTGTAGCCCCAGGCCCCGGAACAGTTGGTTGCATCCTAGGTGCTCTTTACAAGCATGTGGTCTGAATTAATGCTGGCACTCGCCCTCAGGCCCTCTGGTGGCTGGCACACAGTAGGCACTCAGGCACTGGTGTGCAACAGGAGGGGCTTAAAGAGCATCCTCCAGCCTTCTCACTTCCAGAAGGCCAAGGACAGTGGTCCCCAGGGAGGGAAGGAGCTTCCAACCCAGCTTGGCAGGTTGCCGGAGGGAGGCTGCGGTGCAGACACTCGCTCCTCACATCTGCGTCCCACGCGGCCTTTCTGAACCAGGGGAATACTCTTTCCTGCTCCTTGGAGTGGGGAAAGAATTCTTCCTATGAAGACACCGACCTGGAACTCTTGGGATGTTCCTGTTTTGATCCACTTCTCACAGTGACGCTGCGGGTTGCGCTAAGCTGGAACAGTGAGGGCGTTAGGACCAGGAGTGAGGCGCAGGCTTGGCTCCGGGTTGTGTCTGGCAGAGGGCTCTCCGCTGAGCAGAGCAATGTGTGAAAGGAAATCAGGCACTGCCTGCCGCCTTTACATCTGTTGATCTGACCTAACTGGAAGCGTCCAAAGAGGGACGGCTGTCAGCTCTGCTGGACTGAGAACCCACCAGCTCATCCCAGCCCTCTCATAGCTGCCTGGTCATTCATGCAAAAGGGGGAAGAGACACAGGGGACCAAACACCTGAGCAGAATGGACTGTTTGTTTATCCCAAGGAGAAAAACGGGGCAAAGGGGGAGCAAGCAATTTAATTTGGAGTCCCTGTGAACGGGCTTCAGAAGGTAATTAAAGAAATCCACTCAGGACCTAGGGAGGAAGGGGGTCCTGTGGCTTTCTGATTTTAAGTGGAAACAGGTTTTACACGTGCTGTTGGTAAATGTCAGATGCAAGAAAAGGAGCAGGTTAAGTGAATAATAACTTCCAGGTGGAACGAGCAACCCAGGTTCTGCTGCAAGGTGGAAGAAACCTGAGCTGAATGAGAGCGCAATCTTGAATATGACCTGTTGCGTTTGGCAGGCTACAGCAACATGCTCCTAAGGAAGCGGTGCCGGCTGGGACCGTGCAGACCTCAATTCCTCATGCTGTGCCTGACGCTGGGATGCATCCTGACCGTGGTGGCCCTGCTGTATCCTCCCCCTCCCACTCTGCCCCAGGCCGTCACAGACCAGGCCAGCAAGCACCACGAGGCCGGGTACCGGCTGAACTTTGGGGACTCCCAGGAATGGGTTGTGGAGGCTGAGGAGGAGGTCGAGGAGTACGGCCTCCTGGAGGACTTGCCACCCTTTATCTCACTGCGGGAGGATCAGCTTCTGGTGGCTGTGGCCTCGCCCAGGGCCAGAAGGAATCAAAGCCAGGGACGGAGAGGGGGCAGCTACCGGCTCATCAAGCATCCGAGGAGGCCGAAGGAGGAAGCCCCGGAGAGGGACTGGGGGACTGAGGAGGAGGATGGGGAGGTGTCAGAAGAAGGGGAACTGAGCCTGCTCAGCCTGGACTCTGGAGGCCTCGGTGAGGCACTCAGCGCCCGCCTCCCCGTGCAGAGGGTCCTCCCGGAGGCGCGGCACCCACTGTAAGTAAGGCCCCACTTTCCCTTCCGTGGCGTGGGCGTGCAGTGAGGCGGCAGCAATGTCAGCCCTTCAGACTTTCCGCACCCTGCTTCCCCTGTGCTGCTGAGGCCAGGGCTTCGGGAGGTGTGGTTCCTGGGCCACTCGTCAGAAATGCAGATTCGCAGACCCCAGAAAGGCTGCTGAGTCAGAAACCCCGGGGGTCAGTGATGTGTATTTGCAAGCCCTGGGTGAGAACTAAGGTCTGGAGCGGAGACCGTGAGCGCACTTGCTGACTCACTCTCTTCCTTTCCTGGGCTCTGGGGCTGCCTCTGGACTATCAGGTCATGCAGCTTACTCTGTAACACACGAGGAGGTTGGAGCCTTCACGTTCTCACACTCAGACTCTGAACATTAAGTTTATTGTTAGTGTTCGCTTTTATTTTGGATCGAAATAGTAATTGCCGTTAACATTTATATGGCTCTTGCCATGTGCCTGGTTTTAATTTAAGAGCTTCTCACACACATAATTCATAATCCGTAGGATAGGTGCTAGTATTACCATCGTGCCTATCTCAGAGGTGCAAAAATTAGGCACAGAGAGGCCAACGGCTTGCCCGCAAGCACACAGCTAGTAAGTGTTAAGCAGGAATCTGAAGTCAGGCATCACGTTCCCCATCTGCCTAAGCCCCCTGTCAGTGAGACTAAGGGAGCGATTATCAGTAGCTTAGTCTGGGTGGCCCAAACCCCAGAAGGGAAGCTGGGAAATGTGCATGACATGCAGGCCTGTCCAGGGAGACTGCGGGCCCATCCTGGCTCCTTTACCCAGGGTCCCATGAGGGACTGCTTCCCAGCATCCAGGAGTACTGCGGCTATTAGTCTGGGTGATCGGGGCCCTTCTCTGTGACACACAGCTCTTCCCACAGCCCAGTGCCTTTCCTGGAAAGCAAACACATCCTCTACCCTGGAAGCCAGAAGCTATGTGCAGAGCAGCAGCTATGGGCAGAGCTGCATAAACCTCAGCTTTTGATCAGGTCTCTCTCAGCCTGACCGCTCAGTCACTCACACTCTGCAGGTGCAGACAAGGCTCGAACTCCCTTCTGTTCCCCTGGCGTCTCATGCCCCGGACCCTTGTCCCAATACTGCTCCTCGCTGCAGGCCTTGGTAACAAAGCTCTTTCCAGGACAGTTTGGTCTTGAGCCCACAGAGGTGGTACGGGAATCTGTGCTATACTCTTCCACACCATGGAGTTTGAACTCAGCACTCAGTACTACTGAAGCTAAACAGACACTGATGTGTTCACTTGTCCAATCAATGCCTGCTTCCCCTGCCATGCTGTGTGCCAGAGGTTGGGACAGAACTCGTATCGTACATCCCAGTGCCTGGCACATAGTAAAAAAATGATTGCTAAGTGAATGTTCTTCGGATACATTTTTCCCCTCACCTAAAGCAAGATTCAGTATCCTCATTTTGCAGATAAGAAACATTGCTTCAAATAAGAGAGTTTTAGTGTCCGCATAGAGCAAGGGTTTTGCACTGTGCAGATTTGTGGGTCCACTGTGCAGGTGTGTCCGTGCATTCAGGTGTCATGTGTGTACCGTGTGTTGTGATGTGTATTAAAGGGACGTTGTATGCGGAGTACATATGCACAGTGCATTGTAGGTGGCTTTTTGCTTGATGTGTACATATGTTGTATTTGTAGTGTGATATGACAAACATGATCTGTGTGATGTGTTGTCATGTGTGTGTGTACACTAGTGTCTATGTACAATGCATGTATTGTATACTTTGGTAACATGTACATGCATTGTGTATATGTGTGCCTGGCTGGTGTGAGGTGGTGTTTGTCTTGTGTCTATGTGGTGCATGTGTGCAATGAACTTGTGTGTGTGTATTGCATTGTGTGAGTGGTACATGTGTACATGTGCGAGTGTGTTATGTGTGAAGGGCGTGACTGGGTTGTGTGTGTGGTACAAAGCAGAGTGTTCTGTGCACAGCTGTGCATGTGCTGCTTGCTGTGTGCATGGGTGTGCTATACATGTGACCTGTACTGTGTAAATTGGGTATGTTGTGTGGTTGTTGTGATGTGCACGTGCACTGTGCTGTGGGATGCAATGGCTGATTTGCGTGTTTGTGGGGTACATTTTTTCAGTGTATTTGTTGTAACAGTACACTATTGTGTGTTGCACATGTCATAAATGTGTAAGGCAAGGGGAACACGGTATATGGCAAGTGTGTAGCAGGTATCGTGCATTTGGTGGGAGGTACATGAGTGTGTGATGTGCGTGTGTGCTAGGTATTTGGTGTGAACATTGTGTGTGTGTGTGTGTGTGTGTGTGTGTGTGTGCTGCAATAGTTGTTGCTTCCTGCCAGGATAACCAGCTCATCTCAGCTTGCCTAGGACTTTCCCTGTTTCAGTATTTAAAGTCCCTGGAGTCAGGAAAGCCCTCAATCCCAGGCAGAACGTGCAGTTGGGCTCCCCACCTTCACCTTGACTGGCTTCTCACAGCTTCGAGTTCTGGGCAGAGGTGTGTGGCGCCCTCTGCTGGTGCATGTAGCTTGAGCAGCACCAGGCGGATCCCCCGCCCCAAGTACACAAAGAGCAATGCCAGGTAACAATGCCAACTCGCCCTCTAAGCTGACAACACTCCCCTCTTCTCATTTCTTTTAGCCAGATGAAATACAAGACATGAAAGGAATAGCCTCAGATTGCACACCTACCGTGGGCAGGCCGTTTCCCACCAGGGCTGGATGGACACTGCAGCATCGGGAGCCGCTGCCCCCTGTGTAGTGTACTCCACCCCATCCCGTCCCTGAGCTTCTTGCGAGCCATCCTCGACTCCAACCCAGACAAACCCCTCTGGCCCCAATCCCTTCACCAAGCCCCAGGCCAGTCCCCTGCCCAAGCCCCAGGCCTTCCCTGGTGTCTCTAGCATCATGCTGGATGCCACTTTGAGCAGGGGACATGTGAGGAAAGGTACCAATAATGCAAGAACAATAAAGAAAATCATCACTGTAAAAGTAGTCAAGTCTCAGGAAAGAGAAGCCAAATTATAGTGAGCATTTCTTGAGTACTTACTATGTACTAGAGACTCTATTAAGTGGTTTTCATTTGTGTAATCTTCAAAACAAACCTATAAAGTAGATCTAGTTTTATAGATAAAACCAAAGCACGGAAAGGTGAAGGGATTGGAGTCTGACACCAAAAATCACACTTTTAATCGCCATGCAAGAATTCCTCAGTCTGCTTCACAGATCAACTGTTGGGCAGGTCACAAGAGCTGGAAGCATTTCAAGTTTTTCCATCTTAAAGTGGGCCCATGGAGAGAGACACGGGCGGCTGCTCACCTGAGCATCCTCTGTGGTACAGAGCACTGAAGCCAGCCAGGGTCCCATCACGGGGGCTGGAGGGGCTGAGTGCACCCTAAGAAATGTGCAGCCTGAGACAGAAACAATTGGAATATGCTCAGCAATGAAGGGAGACCTTAAACCCTTCTGCTGAGGGGAGGAAGTAAGACACAGGAAGAGGCCTATGGTTCAGTATTTGCAGGGGAGATGGAATCCACACTCTGTGACCAATCTGTTCTTTGCAGGACAGCTCAGATTCCTCGGGATGGTTTGCCATGGGGAGGAGACACAAATGGATTGAAGACACAGACGAGATAAAGAGAAGGGCCTTTGACAGAGCCATGAACTGAAGCACAGGGTTGACTCAGCCCTGCAAAGCTGCTGTCAATAAAAGGAACAGGGAGGAGCTAGTCTTGTGCGTTAGCCTGCTATGGCTCTGACAGTTTTCAAAGTTCTTCCCAGGCCCAGCTCTCCTTTGCTCATCCTGGCATCCACTGGAGGGCAGTTGATTCCTAGGATCAAAAAGGCTCTGGGTAAAGCCATTGCCTGATATCCCGATGTCCAGGGCTAAGGGTCCTCTACTTCAGTAGGGCTCGAGAGCTTATTAAAATTCACATTTCTGGCTGCTACCCTGGTAGCTTCTGTGTCAGCAGGTCCAGCCTGGACTCAAGACTTTGTATTTCTATGAGCTTTTGGTGCTTGGGCTGCTGTTACTCTAAGGCATGATCTCTTTCCTAAATAGATGGGCCAGAGCAGAGTCCCTCAAACTGTAATGTGGGTGTGAATCACTTGAGCATCTTGTCACCACACAGAGTCTGATCATGCAGGTCATGAGTGCAGCCCTAGGGGCTGGGTTCCCAGCGGGGACCTCCAGTGTTGGCCCACAAACAAACAACATTTGAGCACCAAGGGGAGGGTACATTACCAGGTCCCAAAGGATATGCACATCACTTTCCCCATATTGCATTAAAAGATCTCCCTATTACTGGGTTTTGGGGTGTTGAAGTCTCCTTCCAGAGGTGGTTTCTAGGTTCTTTCTGTGCTGAACAAAGAATGCGTCAAGACGGCTGGAGAATATAGCTCAGAGGCATTGCACCTGGAAAGTGCAAGGTCCTGAGTTCGATTCCTCACACCAGGAAAAAAAATGTGTCAAGAGAAGCCCGAAAGGTTGCAAAAGGTTACATTTATTAAAGGTAAGAAAAGAAACAGGCTCTGCAGAGTGAGTTTGGGCCAAGTAAAAGGAAAATAAGTACACTGTACAGGATGAAAACAGGCTGGTATGAGAGAGAGCACAGCAGCAGAGAACCGAATGGGGACTGTCCTCAGGCTGACGTCAGGTCCAGCCTGCCCTATCCAAAACTTCTTGAGTTCTCACAAGAAGCCCACATGCAGCGCTCTGAGACCTCTTTTGCCCATGTGTTCTAGGATTTTGTAATGAGAAGGTCGTGCTTGCTTCCAACTATGCCATGCCCCATTCTGCCTCACCCCATAGTTCTGACTTGGAGCCCAACAGTCTGAATTTTTAAAAGCCAATTGTAAGCCATGTGTAATAGTGTGCGCACACACACACACACACACACAGCACTCAGGAGGCTGAGGCAAGAGGATTATTACCTCAGGTTCAAATCCAGCCTGGGCTACATGGTCAGTTCAAGGTCGGCCTGAACTACAAAGTGAG